CAGTTATTTTCATTGGGATGACTGAAAGTAGAGACACATAAAAATATGGGACCTGAATTGCTAAAAAAGTAAGCTGAGATGAACTGGAAAACCTAAAAAAATAACCACTAAAAGGCTGTTAAGTCTGCAGAAAAAGCTTTGGGACTTCTTCAGTTTGTTCTTCTAAAATACTGTTTTGTTAGAAAGCTAGCTTGGTGCTAGCTAAATATTTAGCCAATATGCAAATTCAGTTGCCAAAAATCTAAAGTGAACTACCAAAATAAAAGCCTGGGAATCTCTAAACAACTCCTACACTGGAAAAACGATCTAGAAATAAGTAAAAATTTCTCAAATTAAGTGAATTTACCCATAATTTGAGTAGCTAAATCAGATGATTTGCCAATTGAATAAGTATTTTTACTCTTAGAATTAGGTATTTAGATAAAATGCACTTGAAATAAGACAATGTAATTGTGTTTTCTTATTTTAAATGTACATTTTCTTGTTCCATTGGCAAAATATGTGTTTTACCTTCTAAATTCAAGAACAAATGCAACTATTTTAAGAAATAATGACTTAAGTTAGTTTATGAAAATCACGTAATTCATTCCAAAATGTAAGATCCACAATGTTTTCTGGTTTTATTTGAACGTATACATTTGTTTTATGAAATGGGCAAATGTTTAATGTTATGTTAACCTGCGCCACAGAGCTAAAGCCACGCACATGGGGCTTCACTATGTTGCCATAGCAACAAATGCTTCCCTTTCTGCTGCGCTGGAGGGAAGAAGCCATCACATTCTTGCTAAATAAATGAATAAATAACCATAAATATTGTTCATGATTTCTGACTGCTTGACTTTACATAGGACTACATTATAATTACTCAGATAGTATTATTGATTATATTGGTTATCAAATAATGAATCACTGTTAACTATAAAACAGGCTGCTTTTGCTCCCACTGATTCTTGTCTTCCCAACATAAACACCATGAGGTGTTTACCTACCAGTGACATTGAGTGTGGCCTCATGGCTGTAGCGAGTGTTGGCAATGTTGGAGGCAACGCAGCGAAAAATCCCAGAGTCTGTCCTCCTCACACCTGTTATTTGCAGGATTCCCATTGGAAGAAGAGTGTACCTGCACAAGGAACCAGAAAACAAAATCCACATCAGACCTGAACGTTACAACACATTCACTTCAGGAAGGTTGATTTAAAAGAACAACCCAAACATTTTTAGAACGCCGGATGAAAATATACCTGATATTAAAATGAAAGTCCAGTATTTACCATTTCCTTCCTTTTTTACCGTTAAAGCACATATAAAAGTAGCAGGATAATCTTTTTTTTTTTTAGTAATTAGTCTGTTTATTGAACCTCGGTTTATTGTATTATCACTTTCCTGTAGGAGATTTAATGTTACAGCGTATGTAGAGGTGGATGAATGTACCTGCTGTCAGACGTGTTCAGAGGTCGTCTGTCCTTTTCCCAGGTTATGGTGGCCTCAGGAACGCCATTTATTTGACACTGGAAACGAGCAACTCCTCCTTCATCCACAAACATGGATACTGGATGGGTGTGGAACTTTGGTAGAGCTTAAAAAATGACAACATTAATTAGCGAGTTCATGATTCTCAATCAGTGGTAAATGAATGTCTATGGCAAACAGACTGATTTCCTTGCAAGAATATTTATGCTTATTCATTTGAGGACTCAGATCTCTGTATCTTAACTTTTTAATAAAAACTCTTGGACAAGAAAACAAATTTCTGGCTACATTTTATGTCCGACTGTCATTTCCTCAGACTTCACAGACTGTATGTCTGCAGAGGCACCTTCTCACCCACAGTCAGACCCTCTAATAACATGGCGGCAACAATCAATAGAACAGGAGTCTCCAAGGCGCCTCTCTGAGAAACTCATTTCTTCTTCTTAAAGACCATGAAATCAAACTTTTGCTAAATCTAGAACAGGTAGAAACGTTTAAATAAATCCTGACACCTCCTGGAGATCTTCATCTTAAACAGAAAACTAACAAGTACAAAGTTTAGTACAACGTTTAGGACAAATGACTGCATGAAAAACACGTTACAAATCTCTGGTCTTGAACAAAATGTTACACTTTAATTAAAGAAACCACATCGTCCTACTTGATTATGTTGCTTAGTCCTTTTTATATGATGGATACACAAAAAAAAGCTGGATTTAGGAGTCAGGAGGAGTATTACTCTGTTTTGCATTTAAATTGATAAATTTAGGCCCTGGCATTGGTATGTGAGCAAATGCTTTACCAATTCTAGATGCCCCGATTCTGTCCTGTTTCGAATCAGCAATCAACCTAACAAAGGTATTTTTGACTGAAGGAGTACCCAGAGATAAACCATGCATTAACAATGAGAACATGAAAACTCCATGTAGAAAGACGACATGCTAGTATTTGTACTCAGGACCTTCTTGTTGCAAGGTGACAACTCTACAAACTGCTCCTCCATGCAGCCCTTTATTCAAATTGATGTAATCATGTTGGAAAACAACTGTAGAGACTGTAACAGTGCTGCCCTGCATTCAATCTACTGATGTAGGATGATGCTGTATCACCATATGCACCTAATTTAAAGGGATGTTTCAGGTAACGTCAATAGATAATGGAAAACCAGTCAACAGTACAGAGCATTCAAAAGAACAAGACTAGAAACGGTTCTATGGGTGGTTCATCCATCATCCATCCATCCATCCATCCATCCATCCATCCATCCATCCATCCATCC